GTACACTTATTGGTGATTAGAAAATTATAATTACAACCATCTGGCAACATACACTTTATTTTAAATATGTTTTTTAATGTTCAAAATTTTAAGTGGTCGCTGATAATTTATAAACCACACTAACATTTTCAATTTGAGTCTATTTCTAAATAAAAATTGAACTGCTGAATTAAAAATGGTTTTCTTCAAAGTGCATTGATTATGCATGCTTACTATCTCTCCAAGAATTACTTACTGTCATACTTCTCTTTGCTGCGCTAAATATGATTAGTGTCGTTCCTCAAACGTTTGCCATTGAAACAACCGTAGAATCCCGCTAAATGCACTCTTTATTCGCGGGGTCTCATGAAATAGATACTTCTTTTACAAAAACTTTATCTCAACTCACATAAGACATAAAGCGGTCAAATACAACATTTTTTCCACCCTGACCTTCACAGTAATTCTACAAATGACTCCGTATCGAGCACTAAACAAAAATATAACCAACTATAGACCAATATCACAGCATTACAAATTTAAAATGCATCATCATCGCAGTTCAACTTGAAAATATAATCTCCGAATTTATCAAAAAAATTAAAGCCATCATTAGCAAACTACTACTCTCATTACAACATTATCAAATAATCATCCACCGTCTACTATTTTTATTTCATAACAATAACACCTTTTATCATTTTGTCTCATATTATTATCTATAACTCTTTGTGTATTAAAATGTACTAGAATAATGTTTCTTGTACGCTACTTATAATCTAATAATTATTTTTCATTCATACAAAAAAATATTTCCGAGATTTTAAAGTTATAAGCCAATTTCTCAATAAATTGAAATAATAATAATAATATGTTACCTAACTGTGAGACGTATAATTATTTCATAATAAAAGGCGATCACCTTGTTTAATCAGTAATCAATTCACTCAGTCTAAATTAAAATTGAAAAGCTCTCATCATTATAGTCATAGCAGTTTTTACTTAATATTTTTTTAGTTAATGCTTGTTAGTTTTACCAGGCTTGCCTGGTTACAAAATGGCCCATATAATATCGTTACAGTGAGTGTCGACCGTAAAGTGAATTTTTAATGTTTTTTTCGTTRGCGTTCGGTTTTTTTATGTGGGTTGGTTCTTTTTCGATCGTAAACCCGCTGTGGTATGATCGGAGTATAGACGCGAGGGGAGGCGTGAAGAGACAAGTTGAAAATGGTTTTGTTTTTCCAATTGTTACTGTCGTAGGTCAAAAACAATTATGCGTGTGCRAAAGATAAAATGCTAATATTTTAACGACTTGAGCTACACCTATAATAGGCCGGTTATTGCCTGCGTCTACGACCGCACTCTGAAATTGCTATTTTTATGCGCTTCTGTCACCATATATTAACCTATACGTGCAAGAGATACTTAATGCATACATACACACTGATACATAAACACTAGACAGACAAATAATACACACACAAACATTTGTAACGAGCATTTATAAAAAAAAGAAAAATATCACTTTTTTCGTGCTTTAATCTCGTCGTTGAGCGCTTGATTGGTTAATTCGTCTGGTATCCAAATAGTGCAAAATAAAAAATAATTTATTTGCTTAATATCTATTACATTCTATAAATGAACGTTTTTTCTTTGAAATACTATTATTATGATTATAGTCATAATAAACTATAGTGAAACCTAAACAATAGTTTTTTGAATAATAAATATTTGTTAGTTAATTAAATTATACRAACATACAGAACAATTCTAATATTAATATCAATTTTTATCAACAATATGAATTACTGAATTTTTATTAATTTTTTAACTAAAAAACTGTGTAATTAAGTATACAAACTTTATTATTAATACAACATTAACTATATATAACTGCACATAATGAGTTAAAATTGAAACAAGACGAACTTTCTAGCTATTCTTCCTTTTTAGCTTACTTTAGGTAACTATAATTGGTTAATACAAGAAAACATATGCAAATGCAATACTCCTTAGTTATTGTATTTCATACATAATATTTCAATCAATAGTAAAATTGAAATTGAATAATTACTTCGAATAATTTAATTTATACTCTTCTAACAAATCAAATCTCTATAAACAATATTGCTTAAAGTGTAACTAAAAGTCAAAAAATGAGCATTATCTATTCTTTATTTTACTCTAACTCAATTACATTTTAAATTTTAAAATTTATCTCCATTAATAAAATACTACGCAAATGTTATATTGACCAGCTAGAGAAAATATTGTATTGAATCGTGTTGATGTTTAAACTTAAGCTGCATCAGCCTTAACAGTGGCGTATATAGGAGTGGACTAGTGGGCTGCAGCCCCTCCCGAAATTACAGACTTAACTGTTAGCTATATTGTAGTCTCTAGGTGCTAGATAATTATTGTTAATCGCTATATATTATAGCCGACCCCAAAAATTATTTCTATATACGCTACTGAGCCTTAATAATATGTTTGAACAACTAATTAATTCTACACTAGGAATTCTGTGTATAGTAGAGTAAAATAATCTAATTATTATACTTTTATGTGTAAAAAACTGTTTATCAAATATAATTTATTACATTTATTTTTTACATACACTCAGATCGCATCAACTCTTTTCTACTCGTTTTAATTGCATGAAGTTTCATATTTTTAACTATCCCAAACTATAAACAGATCGTTTATCGACGATATCAAACTATGTATGGCATAATACTATATTAAAATGTATCCTACTTCCACATATTCATGATTTACATGATTAATTTAAGTTAATCTTTTGATGTTTTTTWWATTTTTTATTATCATATTATATCTTAGTAATTATCATTTTATTTTAACTGTTTAGTACCATACCATTAAATTTGTAAACATCATATATAAATATCCTCAATTTTATTTCACAATTTTTCAAATTAAAAATGTCCTATCACATAATAATACATGACACAATAACAGTCAGTGAATCATATTTTTAG